TCCCTAGGTGTTGAACCCAGAGTTTTTAGTGAGTTCATGTTTTGTTGTTTTGTGGATCATTTGTTTCTTAGTTTGGTTTGTTCGTAGTATTTGATTGATTGCTGTTTCTCATTTCATTATTGTATTTTTCAGTCGTCGGTTTGTATTTTACTTTCATCTTCCCTGCTCATGTTGTAGTTGAGTTCATGTGTCTTGGTTTTGTAATATTTAGTTGTCATCTTTTGTTTTCCCTTTCTGTTTTCTTATCCCTGTGTCTGTCTGCTCTCTGAATCCTGTCACCATCTTTGTTTACCTTTCTCCCTTTGTCTTCCTGTACACCGTTTTTCTATTTTATTTGGATGTTTGTTCTTGTATTTTGTGTCTAGGTCTTAAGTCAGTGGCTACTGCCACTGCAGGATACTGCTTATCCCTTATTTCCAACTCCCGCCTTTTGGGTCTTACTCCTGCAGCCACACAGCTAACCTCGACAGAAGAACACAACTATAAAAAGACTGAGCCCAACAGTACCTCGATGTCACCGCTGCAGTGGACGAGCCCTTCATCCCTGCCACATCAGTGGATCACATTCTTTTTGACATCACCATAACCGGTTCCCACTTTGAGGAGGAAGTGAAGCTGCCACCACCGGTACCTTTCACTACTGCCCAAATTTGCAGCTCCACTGGTATCTGCTAAAACAGGGTCTCTACAACAATCCTCTAGGGTGAATGAAAAAGACGTATTCTCTCGTGCTACCCCAGCCAGAAGAAATCTAAGCAAAGATTCTGTGTTCTCTTCACCATCAGCATAACCGCTAAACCAGCAAAGTTAAAAACTGAGGGTTTTGTGTCTGAGTCAGACCGTTTTTCTTTTTTTATTCCTGCTAGAAGAAAGACCAGGCGACCAGTTCAAAACATGTTTTTTGTGGTCACCTCATTCAAAGACTGAAGTGTGTTTCTTTGAATTTTGAGTTTTGTATTTCTTAGTCGGTCAGTATAAAAGATTTGTTCTGTATTTGTGAGCTGGCCAATAACCAAAGAAAGTTTTCTGTTTCTGGAACAGATAATAATGTTTGTCTGGTGTTTCTCAGACACCCAGTAATAAAGAAGAAGTCCACGGCAGTCTCTGAAGCAGTCAACAGTGAAATACATGGGGTGTTTCTGTGCTGACCAGTGTGTGTTTCTCAGACGGTGTCTGACTGTTTTGTTTCTGTGCCGACAAACAGTGATACAACTGTATTGGTGTTTCAGAGCAAGCGATGGAAGAGACAATGTTTTCCATTTCTGAACTGGTACCTCACACAGAAACTGTTTACTGTGCTGCCGAGATGACCCCTCCAGAGATTGAATTTTGTGTTCATGAGCACACCATCTCAGAGACTATCAGATATTGTGACTGTGCTCTGGGACTTCTGGGAGAATTCTGAGCCAGAACAGCCACCGTCCCTGTCCCCTGTAAGATTTGCTGCATGCTCTGTTGAGCTGACCCAACCACCAGTGTTTCCAAAGTCTCCTATATGTGCAGTGAATCTTGACATCCCTGAGCCTCAGCTGATTCCTGCTGCCTGCAGACTCTTTGCCGCCTGAAGGTCCTGTGTTGTCTGAGCCCAAGGACGCCATATTGCCTGAGGTTGTAGGTTTCTGTGGTCATCCCCGGCTATCTGTCAAGCCATTGATGGGAACTCATTGTTGTGGTTGGCTACCTGGCAGGCCACTAGGGTTTCCTTTCTATCCTTGCTGTCATCCTTCTCTGTCCAATCCATGTGATGGTCTCCATTGGCCTCCATTAACGTCACCCAAGGGCCCATCTTTAAGCCACATTAGGGTCTCTGTTGCCATTGTCGGCCTCTGTCCAAGGCACCCGAGGGTCTATATCACCCTTGTTGGGTTCCATCCTAGCCACCTTCTGGCTATGCCACCGAAGGTGTCGTCTGTGTCAGCACTAGCTTCCAGCTAATCATATCCTCTGCCATCAATGGCCTCGTGCCAAGCCACTGGATGGACCATGTCTCCTTTGGTACTAGCTTCCAGAGTTTCTTCACGTCTTTCACCGGTGGTCACCTGTTCTGCCATCATGGCTCATTGGTCTAATCGCCAAATACATTAATTTCTCTATGTCAGTAAATCATGTTCAAATCTTTCAAATTATCTCCTTCTTGAACTACTAGCTAAAGGTAGGACGATGCACTGCTGTTCTAAACTCTGATTATCAAATGTTATCATTGGAGTGTGAATGTGTGTGAATGTTAGGTAGA